CCGCATTCACCACCCCGATGGGACTATTCGAGTTTCGTGTACTCCCGTTCGGGCTCACCAACACGCCCGCGACGTTCCAGCGGCTGATGGAGTTGGTGATGCGGGGTTTGCAGTGGGAACAGTGCCTAATTTACCTGGATGATGTGATAGTGTTCAGTAGATCTCTGTCTGAGTACTGGTCCAGGTTACGGGAGGTGTTCCAGCGACTGCGAGCGGCCATCTCAAGCTCAAGCCACGTAAGTGTTACATTGCACAGCGCAAGGTGGGGTCCTCGGGCACCGCATCAGCGAGGCAGGAGTAAGCACCGATCCGGAGAAGGTACGCGCCGTAGTGGATTGGCCACGGCCAAGGAACCTGATAGAGATCAGGTCATTCTTAGGGCTCGCCACCTATTACCGTCGATTTGTAAAGGGATTCAGCGAGATTGCACGCCCCCTCACCCAACTCACTTCCCCTAAGAACATCTATCAGTGGATGGAGGCCTGCCAGACGGCCTTCACCACCCTCAAAGACCACCTCACCCACACCCCCACCCTGGCGTTCCCCGATTTCACCACCGATTTTATTTTGGACACCGACGCCTGCAGCTGTGGGTTGGGCGCGGTGCTGTCACAGGTGCAGGACGGGATGGAGCGGGTCATTGCATATGCCAGCCGGACCCTGAGCGGGGCCGAACTGAACTATTGCGTGACCCGTCAGGAGCTGTACGCCGTGATTTTCGTGTGTAAACAGTTCCGACCGTATTTGTACTGCAGGAGGTGCCGCGTGCACATTGACCACTATGCCCTGCAGTTCCTCCTCACATTCAAGGAACCACAGGGACAGATGGCCCGATGGCTGGCGCAGTTGCAGGAATACAACCTGCAGATCAAGTACCGGGCTGGGCGGACGCACGCAAACGCGGACGCCTTGTCGAGGCGGCCCGCGGTGTGCGCCGAAACGAGGGCAGAGGAGGCCTGCCCGTTGCTTCACGGGGGGACGCTGCCGACAGGCAAGGGGCCCCCGGGAGCGCGCTGAGACTAAACCCCCTCTCGCGAGAGAGAGTGCAGTATGCGCCGCAGAGACCCCTGCAGAAGGAGCCAGGGACCCGAAGAACCGCCCCACCCTGACCGGGCGGATCCAAGAGGACATCGGCTGCGCCTTCCCGGGCTTGGACGACGAGCAACTGAGACGGACCCAGCAGCAGGATCCGGATCTGGCAGCGGTGGAAGCGGCCCTGCGGGAGAAGAACAGCGCCCGACCAGGACCCTGGAGTGGTTTGTGTGCCCGGTTGTGTGTGCAGAACAGGGTGGTACGAGAGCTAACCGAAGCCGGCCGGTCAGGGTGCATCTGTGTTCCCGCCCAGGTGCGACCCCAGCTGCTAAGGCTGGTGCACGACCACCCGCTCGGGGGCCATGACGTGGAACGGTGCACTCGGTAGACCCTGCATCGCCAGTATCTCTGGCCCAAATTGGCACAAGACGTGGCCGCCTGGGTACAGAGCTGCCGCGCGTGTCATCAATGTGGGCCGAAACCGGCACGATATCAGGTACCCCTGAGACCGTTCCGCGTCAGTCGGACGAACCAGCTGGTTGGGATCGACCTACAGGGGCCATTACCGCGATCCCACCAGGGCAACCGATATATTCTCGTAGCGGTGGAGTATTTCACTCGCTATCCCGTGGCGGTGGCCATCCCCGATAAGACGGCCCTCGTGGTGGCCCGGTCATTCGTGGAGCACTACGTACTTAAGCACGGAATCCCCGAACGAGTCATTACCGACCAAGGTAGTGAGTTCGAGGCAGAGCTGTTTCAGGCGCCGTGCCGCGAGTTCGGAATCCAGAAGGACCGAACCACGGCGTACCACCCCCAGGCGAACGGTATGGTGGAGCGTATGAACCAGACCCTAGCCGGAAAGCTCAAACACATGGCGGCCACAAATCAGCAGGACTGGGATGAACACTTCCCCTATGCCCTGTTCGCCTACGCCACCACGGTACACACGTCTATGGGACAGACCCCGTTCCTAATGATGTTTGGCCGTGAGTCTCGTCTACCCGCAGATCTGCTGTTCGGCGTTCCCCCTCCGCAACGGGAGGAGGGGAGCCGCCCCGTGGAGCACTTGATGGAGACTCTGCGAGGGGCCCGGGGCCAGGCCTACCCGCAAGGAGAGGCCGCGCATCAGCGGCAAGAGCAGGGCGCCCGACCTCGTATGGAGCCTCCCTTATACTCGGCGGGCTCTAAGGTGTGGCTACACACCCCTGGCATCAGGGCCGGACAGGTGGGGACCACCTACTGGCACAGACCCTGGACCGTGGGGCGACAGATCTCCCCCTGGACGGTGCTGATTCAGGGCGGAGAGAGGGGCCGAGAGATGGTGGTCAACGTCCGCCGATTGAAACCATGGAGGGCAGCCCCGCGAGGGAGAACCCCACCGTTCGGGTACCAAGAAATTCCGGGGTCCCCACACCGCCCATGCTCGGGGGCCTCGCACGGTATATGGGCCCCACAGGGCCCCGGGCCCTGAGGGGTCACGGCCCGGACCGGAGGGGGCGAGGACGATGGCCCTTAAACCCTGCTGCCTCTGAGTTTGTTCCCCAGCCAGCAGGTGCCGAGGGACGAGAAGAGCCGTTGGAGTGGAGGAGACCGCCGCCGGAACCCCAGGAGACGGAACCACCACCCCCAAGGCCGGCCACGAAGGACGGGCGAGTCCCGTGGACCCCACGGCACTACCTCGTGGGGGCAACCCAGGCGAGGTGCTCCAGTCAACCCGGGACAGGGACTGGCACCTCGGGGGGCTATGTGGTGCCACAGCAGCGAAGCCGCTCCGTCGGAGCCGTGCCTGCAACTGCGACGCCGCCACCTCCGAGGGACGGGGCCGACGCTGCTCTTCCCTCACCACCCCCCACATGAACACACACACACCCCCACATGGAACCCAGAGGGGAGGTCACCTGGCCGACAGGTTTTCACCCCGAAGCCCTCTCATGGGACCAAACTTCACGGTTTCCTGCGACCAGGGAATTGGACGATCTCCCCCGAGGCTAACTCGCACCGCGGCGCAGTGACTTGGGTTGTAATTACATGGTCATGTCGGGGCTGTTGAGCCACCGTGGGTAGAAACCACCACAACACACACGGGTCGGCAGGCAGCTGGGGGGGGACAGTCACGAACAGCGGGCAAAACAAGGCCGGTCCTCTGATTGGAAGGACAAATGCCCTTGTTTAGAGAGTAAAAAGCGGACATCTGAGAGAGCACTGGCCCGGGGAGAGTGGCGGGAAATCCGAGCCACCTGATTGGACGGGAGGCCAGCGGATCAGCGCCGATTTATCTTTGATGTAGAGGACAATAAAAAGAGGAGAGAAGGTAGGGATAGAGTTAGTTCGGATTCTACTCAAGCCAGCGCTCGGGGCCGTCGACTTCCCAGCCACTCGAACGTCCGTGTGACGAGTCCAAGTGCAGCGAGGATCCGACCCAGCAGCTCCGTACGAGTCGAACCGTGAGTACCCGAGAGTGAGATATTGAGGCCATTGTGAGATTGTCTTAGGAGAGTGATTCGAAAGAGGCGGGACAGATCGGCTCTTAGACCATCGGGAGATAGGTTAGACCTGCCCTGCTGACTCAAACTGACTCAGGTAATTTAGCCTTGGACTCGCTGAGAATAAACTGTTGGTGATCAATAAACCTTGTCGTGTGGTTTCTGCGAGGGTGGAACGGATGCATGGTGGTGTGCGTTGTTGTACCCTGTGTTTGTGCGTGAGTATTTACCCACGTGTTTGCGCTCGCCCATGCGTGTAGCTCATGGTTAGCGTGTGCGTGTGGTGAGCGGCGGCGGACTCGTACAGGGGCACGTGAGATTACTCATACGCCCTTGTATTTAACGTGTGCGTGAGGCAAACGGGCGGCGTACACGCGAGATTATTCGTGCGGCCTTTGTTTAGCGTGTGCATGAGGCAAACGGGCAGCGTACCCGTGAGATTGTTCATACAGCCCTTTAAATAAATCTCCGAGACAACCCCCCCATCAGCTGCGCGTGTGCGAGTGACGTCCCTGCCCTCTGACCCCCAACCCCCAGTCCCGCGCGCGCGATTGGTGCACGGCACGGGAGAGGAGCGACGTCGGATTTCGAGTGGGTGAGTGTGTGTGCGCAGAGATTGTGTGAATTGACCCCAGGTGGCTAAACGCCAGCCGCGAATCATGCCCCGAGGGGCCGCGGCGAAGGGGAGGGGGGAGTCGGTGAGCAGTAACCCTCCCCAGGACACGGAAGAGGGGAGCAACAGATGCCACGTGAGCGAGGAGCCAGGGGTCAGCCTCCCCGACAACCGTCACCCCTGAGAAACGTAATTCTCACTGTGCAACGACTGCACCTCAAGTCCTTGTGAATAAAACAGAACATAAAATAACTGCTGGTATAGACAGTCCTCAATGCCTTAGTTTTTCTTGATGACACCTAACTTCGACCCGAGTTTTTTTTTAACAAGCTGGTTTTCATAGCTTATCACAAGTACGCATTCCTTTGTAGGCAATGACCAATCTTGGAACTGACCACAATGGAGTAACAATGGTGGACCCACCTGACGTAACTTACTGGAAGCTAGACCACATCTTTTTTACATAGTGTTTATAAAATGTTTTGCTCAAGATGGGATTTTTTTTAATGTATTCTTGTCTTGCTGCTTATAGGTTTTGTCATGGAACGCGAAAACAGTCAGAAGTTTAGTTGTAAGTATGAACTGTTATTAGTTTTGACAGGTATGCCATGCAGATAATGTGCTGTGCTATGTTTGGTCCAAACACAATGTCCCCGATTGCCTTTAATTGTTGGTCAACCATATCTTATTTTGTAACACTTTAGAATAGCTCATTACAACTAAATGCGTAATGAAGAACCCGAAAACGGTACAGAAAAATAACTTGTAAATATTACCACCCCTATCAACTCACTCGAAACCTACAAATAATTCAATAACATTCATAGCTGGACTCTTGATAGTTGCAGTGACAATCACAGACAACACGATGACTGTGCCATGCGACTTCTTTATTCGTTTAACAAAAAACAAAAAAGGCTGCATTCAAGCAGTCACAAATATTATTTCCTGTGGAGATTATAGGAAGAAGCAACACGAAAATGTTATTTTATTTAAACTAAGCATTCTCACTGAAGGAATGTCACTATAATTCTGAAGTCTGTTTTCCTAACTAACATGACTTCAAGGTCATTTTGGACAGCCCAGCACACAGCCTTGGCAAGTATCTGTTATATAATAGCTATTTGTTTTATGGGTTTGCATCTTCCTTGAGTGTAATATTGTACAAACCGAGCACAGAGACACAAAGCCACAACACTAAAACCCACGTACACGTTTTCCAATATGTAATTAAATAGGACATTGCAACAGTACTTGTGTTACTTTTAAATGCACTTGCAATATTTTTTATATTAAATTCCCTTGACGTTACACATTTATATAATAGGTTAATACTGGCTGCTAAGCAGCGTTTGAAAAATAGACTAATCAAATATGAGAAACAATTATGATGCTTGGACAATGTCTGTTCATGATGAAGTGATGCTACTTAAAAATCAATGATAATCAGGTGCACAAGAAAGAACGTACAGTTTGCAACAAAAACATCAACGATAGAATTCCTACCATCTGAAAACACGAGCACAATGAGAAAAAAACATTGATGACACAATTATATTTGTATCTCAATGACACTTTCAACTTCATGTCAATATACAAAGGATTCGTTGAGAAATCTCCTGGATGAATCCTTCACCCATGTTAGAGTGGCCTGCAGAAGGAGCCGTCACAGAACGACTTCTCAAATATCTTTGGAGGGGGCACCTTTCCACCCAGTCTACTACAGGGAATAAATGTTCATTGCGTGACAGTCAACCCGATATAAATCCAGTGCAAGACCAAATAAAACAAAATTGGGTGCAGTCAGTGGTAACCAAGGGTGACGTCATCCACTGCCCTGGATCTCTCATTCTGATAAAGCCAGGCCCTCGGTAGTGCTGGCTAGGCACTCTTAAGCCACCAGGCAACCTCTAAATAATACGTGCCAAGATGAAAAATATATAAATATTAACGTTTCACAGCATTATGGGAAAACATGTACTCACAGGGTAGCCTGACAGAAAGTATTTACAGTATATACATAGCAGCTCAATCTAGACAATATATTTGACATTTTACAGATTACGTTGTTAAACATTAAAGTTCAGTAAAGCATCGATTCTACTTTATGCTAATTCCACCTTTACGAACAACCCATTTGTCAATCCGCTGCTGGATGAGGGCTCCCCATGCCGTGCAGGCAGCGAGGGTTATTTGGCCAGACTTCACCGCGCTGGTCAGTGTGGTTTGGTAAAGGTGTGCGCAGTAGAGAACGTGGTTTTTGCTGCACTGCCCTCGATCGCCCACATCGCCTGTTCATGCATGGTGGTCACCGACACAAGCACTCTCCAGGATCAACACTACTTAGCTTATTCGTGAGCATAGCATCGTCCAATCAGTGCCTCCCATGCCTTGAAGAACACCAAGCAGTATCAATTTCCTTTGATGGTCTTAAGCCAGTGGTGTACATTCCAATTACTTACATGCTGGACAACTCTATCCATGAACCAACTTTGAACTTTCCACAAAATGGTGCTCACCTCGAGGTATTAATTGCATTGACCTCGAAGAGAAGGACGGATGAACAGACTTATCCAGTAATTAATACGGGACCTTTCTTGCCAGTATTCAAATATAACAATATTGTTATTTATACGTGGAACGTCAAGATTGAGAATTTGCTGGTCCACAGAGCTACTGCCAAAATTGTTTATTTTGATTGAGACTCCACATTCTATAGGCGAGCGAATGAGCTTGTCCAGGGGCGGAGCCAGGGGGGGTGACAGGGGTGACATTCTGCGTACAAGTGTACGACACTCGGTCTGGCGGACTCCGTGCAACTGCATTGTCGGAGTGTGTCGCCAACCGATGGTGTCCAGTTCAAAAGCCTGACTCTCTAATCATTCTTGAAATTAAAATTTGTTGAATGTCACCCCGGCCTGAAATCCTGGCTCCGCCCCTGAGCTTGTCTGTATACCAAATCTCCAATTCAGCCTTGACAAACTCCAACAGTCCGTTGAAGGTCAATTTATGAGATCATCGCCAATGCAATTGATACCACCACACCTTTCCATTTGTTCCTTCTTTATGACAACACAAACACATGACATTAACAGACACTTGAACAAGTTACAACTACTATCCTTTCAGCCACCAACCACCACCACATTATATCAACTGCCATATGATGTCCCATGCATCGTCAGGCATTTCTATGACAAAATACTATTAATAATGGGCACGATATTTATTTATTGGATAAACCAAACCTGAGGCAACAGAGGAGCTTGGCTTCACCAGATTTAGTCAGAAACGGGGAGTCTTAATTCGTCGACCTGGAAGCGGCCCGGCAGCCACCGGTACAAAGGTGCGCAACGTTCACGCCAAACCAAGATCTACCACAAGTTCAAAGTCGTCGCCCTTTCCGAAACCGGGCAAAGACTTAACCCTTGCTGCGAGCAAGTGGCCGACATCACTGCCCTCTGCGTGCTTCAAAGTCTTGCAATGTCCAATCCTCCAACGTAGATCACCAGAAGTGGAAGACATCCTGAGTGTCAAACAAAGCTGGCTTCTGACGAGGCTATAGCACATATGAACAAGTGCTGATGCCTACAACATTAATCGAGAACTTTTTTTTTACTTCAAGACATTGGCAGTTTTACTGAACCTAACAACTGCCTATGACAGTCGGGAACAGTGGCCTGCTTAAGATGTTCAGAATCCTGCTGAGATGCATGGTTTATATCATCAAACTACTTCTGCATGACAGGTGGTTCAGAGTATACATGGGAAAAAAACCAAATGCTCTAAGGAGGTAAATCAAGTCTTCCTTAGTCACATTCTTGTGGCTACCTTGTTTAACCACGACACCAACAACCTCCCACACACCCACTAAACGATGGAAGATGCAGCGTCTTCTGCCGAGTGTTACCAAGATGGCGTCGTGTGTGTTACACCGTCACAATGCTAGTGCTGCCACGAACTGAACATTTGCCTCAAAAGACAAGAGGGTGAGACACGATCCGCACATTCGGCAATGCGTGTCATCTCAGGAGCTCATCAACCGACTCCCATCCCTTAGCCACCAGTTCCACATATCCGTCGGAAGGCTGCGAATGGCACGCTACCGGGACAGGATTCGCGACAACCAAAGTCTGCGCTGGACGTTGCTCTCTTTAGCCCACCTACTGCTGCCTGTCATCACAGCACCCACCGTGGACCAACGTGCCCCGCCAGGATGTACCGGCAAGGTCTTCGTAGCACGAGTGGCTTGCATCGTCAACAGGAACCGAATCCTCGTGGACGACCCCACGATCTGCCCAGCTGGGTTTGAACTTCGGCGCCGTGCCTTAACTCTGCTCATCCCAAGTTCCCAACTGGCCAAGGCCTGTTTGTAGTAAGCCTGCACTGGAGGGGCTTTCACGACAACCAGAACTGTAACAGCGGCACAATACAGACAATGAAGCACATTGTTGAAAACTATCCACCAACCAAGCTTAAGGTGGTCTGAGGACCCTGCATTCTGCAAATGATGAAACACAAAATTACATTGTATTGGAGAACTTATTGGAAATAATAGCAGTCAAAAGAATGAGAACATCAGGGATGATTTTGACCCGTTTAAATTAACAAATTGGCATGCAAAAAAAACTAAACTCTAACTTTAAAATAAATAAATAACTAGATTTTATCGCTCCAATTACAGAACGTCAAACACTTAGATGTAGTTTCCCATGATGGAACATTGGAAATAGTGCTATTGTCGTCATGTACAGGAAGCACACATATGTGACTGCTCTAGTTGAAGGCCTGGCTGCCAGCCGCCATGTGCTGTATCTTGGCAGGCAGCAGAGTGACCATTTCCCTGCTGAGCTCCAGCTCCGGCTGTGCCAATTCTTCGACATCTGGATTCTGGTCGCAGTAATCCACCACATAACGGTAACACTCGAGCGACAGGCGCGCGTTGGCAAGCCTGCTCGCCGTGTCGGACACCATCAATTTGCTGTGCAGCCGACCCATGCGGAACTTTGCCACAAGCGCCGGGCGGACCACGTCGATGTCCAACGTCGCTGGCGTTTCGCCCCGCGAGTTGCAGAGCGAGTCCAGGAACTTCTGGTAGTGCGTAAGGGCCGCGCGCGCCAGCAGGTTGATCTTCTTGACGGTCTGTGGCTGCAACTGCTCCGCGTGGTTCGCCAACGCCACCTTGAGATCCATCATGTCGTAGTACGTGTCGGCCACCTCAAAGCACAACTGGCGGCACGCCGTCAGGTAGAACTGGGGGTTGAGCTGCGTGTAGAGGCCCTCCAGCATGTCCACACGTCGCTTCTGCATGCGGCAGCGCCTCTCCAGATCTTCCTCGAAGAAGGCGAGTGCTTTGAACAGAGCACTCTGATCGCGCACTATCTGCACGTAGTCGCTAGCATGGCCGTCCAGCACGAAGAATTCCTTGGCTTGTGTCACACGTGCCTGCCCAAATAGGAATATTTCTCGCGCCTCCTGGAAACTGAGTGCTTTGCGGCACGGAACACGCTCTTCTGCTCCAGCCAAGGCCTCCAACATATCGGCAGCACTCACCAGGCTGCTGAACTTTATATCTGCACCGTCGCTACCTTCATTGTTTCCATTCCAGTCCCCGTCCATGTCACCATTACCCTGCTCGTGCTGGCGCTGACGCTCTGCGTGCAGTTCTAACTGCCGCTCAGTGTCCAGCTCACTGATGTCATCCTGCAGATACATGTAGAAAAGGTCACATTTAATGTTTACTTTTTATAACAATAAGTTCAAGAACTACATCACCTGCTATCTGCCATAACGTTTAAGTACATATTTTCCCTGCACTATAATTACATTTTAAAAAATTCGACTCAATGTTTTAAACTATGTTACTTCAAATCAAGTTGACCCAAATTTTGCATTTCAGCAAACGTGAAAGGGTTTGCTTTCCTCATACTAAAGAAATGAATTAACTCTTTCCCGAAACAATTTACATCTCCCGACATGTACATCTAAAAAGTTTGCAAAGAAGCATGAAGAGGCAGGCGCACGCTTGGAATAACACTGACACGGGAAGAGGAACACATGGATTTCAGAATCTGGCTGTTAAGAAAAGTGAGGTTAGGTAGGACACGTTGCTAGAAGGGATGAAGACAGCCAAAGGAAGAAACGTGCCCAAGAGGGCAGGAATTGTGAAGAGATGGAGCAATGGAATCAGCTCATGTGTCAGAGCAAGATAGTTACGTCGCGAGACTGTGAAAGATTGGCGCTGGCTTGAGGAGGCCTTCATCCTGTAGTGGATATTTCATGGCTGTCGGTGATGACTGTAACCAGATCATGAACAATTTCCAGATTTTAAAGGAATATTCATTTTTATTGCTACCTAATGATGATATTGCTAAATCACATCCATTATTCTTGCTAAATCACATACATTCATTAAGAATAATTTAATTTATTTAATAAAATCACACACTAACCTAAATATACGACATATACATAATAGATGTGTTTTTGGGTTCGATCGCGTAAATATAAATGTGACGTAAACCCACCACGACCCAACACAGCCAATTATTAAGGTTTGTCACATATTGGCACGTTTTGTTTACGTGACAAACCATACTAGTTGGCTTTGTCGGGTGGTGGTGGGTTAATGACACGTTTATACTTATGCCATATAACCCAAAAAACCTTTATTATGGATAATAATGGTAAACTATATGACATATACTTGCTAATCAAGAATGGCATAGCTTAATAAAACGATAGAATTAATCTTCAAAACATGTGAAACACCGAGCAATGAATTACTCTCGCTTAGCTTTTAGCTTGCTTGCCTTGCTTTCCTTGCTGGTTTACAGAGATGAGAGATGCTGGCATGCAGGCCTGGTAATAAAGTATCCCCCAAATCGCTATGCCTACCTCATTAAGTCAAATGGAGCATTACAGCTAAAGGTATATCTATATAAAATGTTACTGAATGTACAGTGAAACCTTGGATTGCGAGCATAATTCGTTCCGGAAAACGTGCTCGTAATCCAAAGCACTCGTATATCAAAGCGAATTTTCCCATAAGAAATAATGGAAACTCAGATGATTCGTTCCACAACCCAAAAAATACTATTTTCATATAAAAATTATTAATACAAAATACCTTTTTATATTTTTATTATTTAAATTTAATATAAAGTAATTAAATTGATTAATTACATTTAGTCGTGGCTGGTGTGAGAGAGACGAGAGAGAGGAGAGGAGGAGGGTTATTGTGTAGGACGACTTTCACTTGCAGTACAGTTACTAAAGAACCGTCACTACACTTGGACACAAAATAAAAAAAAATGCTTTACGCACACACACGTGGTCACAACACTATACTGTAGTAAACAGCATACACGTGGTCACAACACTATACTGTAGTAAACAGTATACGCTCGCACGGATGTTGACTATACGAGTGAGGCACGCCGACTGAGACCGAGCATGGGAGATGATTATCCACAATCCCGCAGCGAGAGAGAAGAAACATTGGCTCAGTTGTGATCACGTGACACTCGGAAGACAAAGCGTATACTGTACGTACTGCTCGTATTGCAAGACATCGCTCGTTTATCAAATTATTATTTATTTAAAATTTTGCTCGTCTTGCAAAACACTCACAGACCAAGTTACTCGCAATCCAAGGTTTCACTGTAATTATTATTGTAATAAGTGGATGCTGGAGTGGCTGATGAGAACTGTGAGCTGTTTGAGTGGTGCCATTTCGAGCATTTTCTCTGTGAAGTGGTGCAGTACCTACGCAGGTGGGCAGATTGTCGACCATGCAGATCCTGAGATGACTGCGAAAATCGAGCATTCAGTCACGGTGCATGCGCGACAATCAATTGAGAGTGACTGAGCTGCGATAGGCTTAACGTGCACATTTGGGGAAGTGCAGTATCACTCATGGAGTGGCAGAATTGCCACCTTAAGATTGGTGGGACTTGCACACATGGAGGGGGAATGACATCTGCCCAGCAGGTGATTCATTGCTTGCACACCACTGATTGATTTGGCATGCATTTTAGACCAAGCAGCAGATTGTTTAGAACTGTGTGCAGAGTTATGATTTAGAACAATTTGGTACTCAGCCAGGTGTAACGGTATTAGGTGGAGATGCTCATTCATTGGGTAGGGATGACCAGGGGATGTGTCTAAAAGGAGACCTCACAGCACAGATAACTTGGAGACACCAAGCTACAGTGGAGGTGAGTTCCACCACCAACAGTATTCACAGCACGAGTGGGGATTGAAAGAGAGGTGAATCAAACTCAACACCCACTCGAAACTGTAATCACAGCTTACGATCCTGCACTATGCAGTAGTTTTATGGTATAGTTTAACCCTTTCCCATTCCGATGATGTACAAGTACGTACAAATATGTCATCAGTTTTTCTTCCGATTCAGAATCAAAGCTAAAATAAAATAACTTTATCGGTACCAATGCTCCCACAAGGCCATGCGGGAGGGCGTGTGGCACAGTTTGACACCAGGTATCATAGAGTGTGGTCGTGTCGCTACGGTTCTCAGCGGCGAGTCTTTAAAAACAGCGCCGCTACGCCTCTCTAAATAAAATTAACGCTGGACCGCTTGCGTGTTCCGAGATTCGGCAGTGAACGGGACACCCACCCTGCAACTTGCAGTCGTCTCGGAATGGGGAAAAGGTTACTGTGCTGCACAGCAGCGTCCTTGAAGTAATAGGGATTCCCAAAATGAAGGCGAAGGCCACAGATCAAGTCTAAGGCAGGGCAGGAACAGGGCGGGGCTAATCGGAAGCAGCAGAAGGCTGCCACCGAACATCAGCCGGTGACAAAGAAGATGCGGCGTTACCCGACTAGGATTGTGGAACCCCTTTTCTTCTCTGTGAACTGGGGGGGATGAAGCATTGGTGAACTGGAGATTGCAAAGCGCGGTGCTCGATGGTGTGGAGTTGTCGTGGCAACTGGCAATGCGTGCTGAATTGTGAGATGAGGTAGTTGGTGTGCGGTGCCATCTGGTGGATTGTGGAGGTGGTGCGTGAGGTAATCTTCATGATGACAAGTGGGTGTTGAGTGGAGTGGCAGCTTTGGTTTGAGTGATGATAGTAGGCCATGAGAGCTCCACATTGATCTTCAGACTTTAAAGTCTAAACCAAGGCCAGGGGAAAATGGCAAGTGTGCAAAACCGAAGTTTTGTCAGGATTACTTTTGCAGATAGTAGGGACTACTCCATATCTGAAAAGCTATCCCAAGCAGCCTTTATATTACCATTGTGACCTCTATGGGCGTATTGAGTAACAAAGATGCTGGTTCACTTTAGCACAACCGAACATTAATTTCACACCACCCTAACGCCACCTACTGATGCATTCGTGAACCTCCCTCTCCTAAATGAAGCGCAAAGCAGCACTTGTACAAAACCAATTACTGTATCGCCCTTGTTTATTCATATTACAGTATCTGTGGAAAGTGCTGTTGGCAAGCACCTGATGTCAGTGTAAAACACTATTTGACATTCCATATGATTCTGACGCTGGGGTACAGCGATCGGGCCACAAATGTTAGCTCAACAAAGTGGCTTATCATGTGCAAATGTATAGCAGCCAAATTCTTACACACGTTTCTAAATGTGGAGGGGAAAACTAGAGGACCTGGAGAAAAATCCATGTGACCATGGGGAGAACATGCAAACTCCAAACATACAGCATGCGTCAGGGTTGGGATCGAGCCCATGACCGCCTGTATACCACGTGAGGTAGTTAACATCTCGCCACCGCAGCACCCTGTGGCAGTTTAACCATCCCGGCAGTTTACATCATTCGTCGTTGCTGACGTAATTACCCCCAACGCGAACCTTAATCCTATAGACTTGACCCTGTCTCTAATCCTGACACCAATCTTTATCCAAACCTTGACTATTACCAAAAACCGTATAATTGCTATGATAATACTTGTACACCGACGTCCGAATAAAATATTCGGACCCCGGAGACCAAATTCCATGTGCTCACACTGCTCGTCCCTCCCGTGGCACACACACAGCATGTTCCATGACTCACACAAACAGGCCGACGAGCACTACCAAGGTACGATTCCTGGTGACTCCATTGCCACTCTCCCCAAGCGACCCGGGTCATTGTAGACTCTGTTACAGAGGTCAATGATGATATAGTCATCATGTATATGAGCGATGTGGCCAAGTTAATTGTGTGCGTGTGTTTTAGTTAAGGGCCCACCTCTAGCTGCTTGCGCGAGTCCTCCAGCAGGTTCAGGCAGTACTTGATCCAGCAGCGCGCCACTTCCGCCTGTCGTTGGGCAATCCTCTGCGCGCAGTCCATATCTTCCGCCTCTGCAATAATGTCACATAGCAGTGTATATACAAAAATCATGCACATCCTTAATTTAAAACTAAAATCCCATTCAGGCAACAAAATTGCCCTTTAAGTAATATGCATTGTGTAGCACAATTCCATTGGTGGCAGAGCCAACATTTGAAAGCCCACATTCCAATGGTATGGACAAGCCTTTCCACAGGATGGCCACTATAAACATACAGTGAACCCTCGCTATGCGCGAGTTATGAATTTGTGCGGTTCGCATATTCACGAGTTACTAAATGTATACTAATTCCCTATTCGCAACTCCTTGGACTCCAGTATTCACGAGTGTACGACGTGCACAGACCACCGACACCGGGGAGGTGTGCGCAGAATGTTGTTACATTTGAAACTGTCTGCGAAGATTAGGCACGACCCCTTGACTGCCCGGTTTTTTTTTGGTATAAACGGGTCGACTGTGAGGTCCATTAAAAAGGACACGAATGAAATCAGGGAAATTGTTGTGGCGAGCACTCCACAGTTGTACTAAAATGATAACAACTGTGCGTTATCAAACACCTGCATCTCTCAAGAAGTCATCCTTCTGAATTCCTCACCATCAACACCACCTCGATCGTCATCAATTGTTCTTTATAATGTATTATTTATGAATTGTAGTGATTGTTATTAAACATTAACCATTCCCCCCCCCCCCCACCCATGTTCACTCTTACTAGGAACGTAACCCCATTTTCCCATTGGAACAAGGTTTCTGCATTCGCAAATTCTGTATTCGCGAGTGTTTTCAAAAACGTAACCCTCACGGATAGAGAGGGTTTACTGTACTCCAATATTCAGTTAACTTATTTTATTGTATAGTTATAGAGCACCTTATCTTAAGGCGCTTTTCAAAGTTTAGAAGTGATTTAGATGGCAAGGGAGAGCAAGGGCCGAGGAATGAGTGGCCGTTAACAGAGGGAGGAGGGAGGGACAGGATGGAGGGAATGGGCGAGGAGAGGGAAGAGGAAGGGAATGGGCAATGCATAAGAGGTGGAGCTTTCGGAGAGGAATGAAAGGAGGTTGAGGGGGACTGCTTAATGTACAGGGGAAGGGTGCAAAGAGGGAGGAGGATCGAAAACGAGATTGGGAGCAGGGAAGAGGGAGGGACTGAGACGGAGAGGACTGGGAACAAAGAGCATGAGGGGGGATGTAAAAAGCACTGAGAGCAGCAAGATAAGGTGGGGAAAGGCCATGGAGAGATTTGAAGACTCGTGTAAGGTACAGTGAAGGAAAAAAGTATTTGATCCCCTGCTTATTTTGTACATTTGCCCACTGACAAAGAAATGATCAGTCTATAATTTGAATAGTAGGTTTATTTGAACAGTGAGAGACAGAATAACAACAAAATACAGAAAAACGCATGTCAAAAATGTTATAAATTGATTTGCATTTTAATGAGGGAAATAAGTATTTGACCCCCTCTCAATCAGAAAGATTTCTGGCTCCCAGGTGTCTTTTATATAGGTAACGAGCTGAGATTAGGAGCACACTCTTAAAGGGAGTGCTCCTAATCTCAGCTTGTTACCTGTATAAAAGACACCTGTCCACAGAAGCAATCAATCAATCAATCAGATTCCAAACTCTCCACCATGGTCAAGACCAAAGAGCTCTCCAAGGATGTCAGGGACAAGATTGTAGGCCGACACAAGGCTGGAATGGGCTACAAGACCATTGCCAAGCAGCTTGGTGAGAAGGTGACAACAGTTGGTGCGATTATTCGCAAATGGAAGAAACACAAAAGAACTGTCAATCTCCCTCGGCCTGGGGCTCCATGCAAGATCTCACCTCGTGGAGTTGCAATGATCATGAGAACGGTGAGGAATCAGCCCAGAACTACACGGGAGGATTTTGTCAATGATCTCAAGGCAGCTGGGACCATAGTCACCAAGAAACAATTGGTAACACACTATGCTGTGAAGGACTGAAATCCTGCAGCGCCTGCAAGGTCCCCCTGCTCAAGAAAGCACATATACATGCCCGCCTGAAGTTTGCCAATGAACATCTGAATGATTCAGAGGACAACTGGGTGAAAGTGTTGTGGTCAGATGAGACCAAAATGGAGCTCTTTGGCATCAACTCAACTCGCCGTGTTTGAAGGAGGAGGAATGCTGCCTATGACCCCAGGAACACCATCCCCACCGTCAAACATGGAGGTGGAAACATTATGCTTTGGAGGTGTTTTTCTGCTAAGGGGACAGGACAACTTCACCGCATCAAAGGGACGATAGACAGGGCCATGTACCGTCAAATCTTGGGTGAGAACCTCCTTCCCTCAGCCAGGGCATTGAAAATGGGTCGTGGATGGGTATTCCATCATGACAATGACCCAAAACACACGGCCAAGGCAACAAAGGAGTGGCTCAAGAAGAAGCACAATAAGGTCCTGGAGTGGCCTAGCCAGTCTCCAGACCTTAATCCCATAGAAAATCTGTGGAGGGAGCTGAAGGTTCGAGTTGCCAAACGTCAGCCTCGAAACCTTAATGACTTGGAGAAGATCTGCAAAGAGGAGTGGGACAAAATCCCTCCTGAGATGTGTGCAAACCTGGTGGCCAACTACAAGAAACGTCTGACTTCTGTGATTGCCCACAAGTGTTTCGCCACCAAGTACTAAGTCATGTTTTGCAGAGGGGTCAAATACTTATTTCCCTCATTAAAATGCAAACCAATTTATAACATTTTTGATATGCGTTTTTCTGGATTTTGTTGTTGTTATTCTGTCTCTCACTGTTCAAATAAACCTACCATTAAAATTATAGACTGATAATTTATTTGTCAGTGGGCATACGTACAATATCAGCAGGGGATGAAATACTTTTTTCCCTCACTGTATCTGAAAATACAGCAGTATAGAAAACGGGAAGCCAGTGAAGTTGATGGAGAATAGGCGAATTAACTGGGAGGTTGGAAATAACCCGCACAAAAGCATTTTTTAATTGTTTGGAGGGGAGTGCGTAGTCAGAGAGACCAAGAAGAAGAGAATTGCAGTAGTATAGACGGTTAAAGATCAGAGCTTGAACCAGGAGTTTTGCAGCAGAAAGTGAAAGGAGAGGGCAGATTTTCATGATATAGAATGTGAAAGTGACAGATGTGAGTAGTCAAGGCAATGTGGGTGAAAATAGAAAGGTAAGAGTTGAGGGTGACACCAGGCTTCAGAACAGTAGAAGCAGGCATGAGAGAAATTATGTAAGGAGATGGTGGGAGAGAAAGAGGCTGCAAAGAAATTGAATGTGTTGGACGGATTAAGAGAGAGAAAGTGAAGTGACATCCCGAACTGGATAGCAGCCAGGCTGGAGGAAATCCGAGAGGAAAGATCAGGGGTCAAAGAGGGTCGGAGAGAGAGGAAAGAAGAGTGGGGTGATCAACAGTCTCAATAGCGGAGGAAAGGTCGAGAAGAATGAGAATTGAAGTAACACCAGCATGGAATGAGTTTGCAAGATGGTCCTCGACATTGAAAAGGGCTGTTTCGGTGGAATGGAGAGGACAAAACCCAAATTGTAATTGTGGATAGAGGGAATGAGAAGAAATGTAGAGTGAGAGCCGGTAATGAACAAGACATTCCAGAATTGTATAAAAGCAAGGCAAAATAGATATTATAGTAAGACTTGTTTAAAACTTATTTAAGATTTTAGATTCCTATGTGTTGAATGTATGCACCATCGTGCCAAAGTAAATTCTGTGTCGGTGTGAACTTTCATGGCGAATAAAACCCTTTCTGATTCTGATATAGGGCGGTAATTGCCTGGAATGATGGGGACAAGGGATTTGAAGGTGGAGGGAAGACACCAATGCAGAGAGGGGAGTTGAAAAGAGACAAAAGGTAGGGAAGGATCAAGGGGAGAGGGAAAGGAAGAAGGGAGGCAGTAATGAGGTCAAGGAGGGAAGAGGCAGGGTGAGTTTTGAAAATAACCATGGAGTTCAGCTCGAGAAGTCATGAAGACGGAGAGAGGAGGGACAGTGGAGCATGGAGGAGAGGAAAGTGCAGGAAATTGAGCTTTGAGGAGAGGGGTAAACACAAGGGTCGAACGAATGAGCTCAATCTTACAAATAGTGGGAGAAAGCCAGAGCGGAAGGAGTATTGGGAGGATTGCACAAGTTTTGTTATTTTGGTTTAACACGTAGGCTTTCGCGACCAATATCATCCATAAGAGGTTTATTTGGGTTAAAACATCAGAGAATGTTTAATGAGGACAGCGATGCCTCAGATTATCAGAGGTTTGTGGTTAGAATCAAGTTAATATCGCAATTATCAAAGTGCAAATCATAATTTTGTAGAAATGTTTGTATCACATTGAAACAATTAATGGACAGTAAACATGACTGGCAAAGGATGTTATCACAATTGTGGTTGACAAACACTTTCAATCCAAATACAACGGTCAGCAGTAGCAGAACACACGTGCCAACAAGGACACTCAAATTATTTTGATAATGTTGAAGTTCTGTGCAAAACTAGCTACTACTGGCCAAGACTAATTAGAGAATCTATCGAAATTGAAAGGAATACAAAATAATTTTAACCATTCGGACAGCTACCGCCTTCGTGCTGCGTGGAAGCAAATAATCAAATAATACATTATTTTAATGCATGCCTATCTATAAAGGGCACTATACTTCAATAGGGATCACCGTTGGCACGGATATTTTAATACACACAATAGGCAGGAAGGACAAGTTCAAAGGGCTCACATAATGCACACGCATAATGTACGTTGACTCATTAATCCACCCCGCCTCTGCGCAAGAGCACAGAAGGGTGGTCACCACATCTACGCCTCTATATAAGGAACGAAACAGGTGGACTTGTCCACAAATCTGGCTGTCGCCTGATGAAACTAGTTGTAATAAGTGGCAAAACGTTGTACTCAGATTGCAAACGTTGTGGCTTGGCTCTCCAACACACCGGTGTGCTGTAGTAGTGACGAATTGGCCACGTTCTGTTTACGTGACAACCCTTACTAGTTGCCTGTGTCGGGTGGTGGCGGGTTTTAACGGCACATTTATATATTTACGCAATCTAACCCCAAAAAAACACTATGTTTGTTATTCATATTCTTAGCTCTTTCGGTAAAGTCACGTTGAAGGGAAATAATAAAATATATATAAAACAATAAAAATTCTCACGACGTTTCGACCATAACACAAACGGTCATCATCAGGTGTGAAAAACCAACGACCAGAAACACTTGACGGCCAGAAACATTTGAAATGTTTCAAATGTTTCTTGCCGTTGGTTTTTCACACCTGATGATGACCGTTTGTGTTATGGTCGAAACGTCGTGAGAATTTTTATAGTTTTATATATATTTTATTATTTTATTGTTTCCCTTCAACGTGACTTTACCGAAAGAGCTAAGGATATGAATTACTGCAGTCACGAAAGCTTTAAATCAAAACTATGTTTGTTATTTTGGATAAAAATGAATTAAGAACCTGAATGGAATACAAAGTGGAGAACATTTGGCACACTTACCCTCGGTGTCCACAGGAGTCTTGGCCTGACTCAACACCACCTCTGCGGCTGCCAAACAGTGCCGGCCCACGCGGTACCGTTGCTGTAACAACCACCAAGAAAACCATGTGTGCATTCAATTCCTGCAACGCTGACCAGCGTGAGTTCGTCTTTACAAAAAAAATATAGACTTCCAGTCGTCTCTCCACATTAAACATACAACAAATTTGAGGGCTCAATGCTCCTGTTGTGATTGTTAAAATGGGTTCAATGAATATAATATTTTTAAAAAGTGTTTTATTTTTGTTTCACAACCTATTTTTAAAAAACAAACTCGATTTTTATAGCCTTTGGGTCTTTCGGTCAAGTCACGTAGATCTTACATTAGCATGCTATCTTCTTTGGTTCTTTCGGTAAAGTCACGTAGAATGAGAATAAAATAATAAATTGATAAAATAAAATAACATAATAATATTCTCACGACGTTTCGGCCACAACGCAAGCGGCCTTCATCAGGTGAAGGGACGAGACTGTCTGGTAGGACAGCGCTGGAGTGAAAAAAGTCACGTTCAGATCACGACCTTTAAGCTGTGTGAGAGGAAACAAAGCGCCTTGACAAAGGAATTAGCATAAAGCTTAAAGGTCGTGATCTGAACGTGGCTTTTTTCACTCCAGCGCTGTCCTACCAGACAGGCTCGTCCCTTCACCTGATGAAGGCCGCTTGCGTTGTGGCCGAAACGTCGTGACAATATTATTGTGTTATTTTATTTTATCAATTTATTATTTTATTCTCATTCTACGTGACTTTACCGAAAGAACCAAAGATGAATCATTGCAGTCACGAAAGCTTTAAATCGAAAATTAGCATGCTAATTTATCACATTAACATCACTAGTCCCGCCCACTTAGTTTATGACCCTTGGGCTACACCCATTTAAAACCTTTAAAACAGTCTGCTTTTAGCAGCTTTCACCCTCTGTTTTCCTCCTGATGACGATCACTTGTGTTGTGATCGAACCGTCATAGTTTTTGGAACCTATCTACGTGACTTTACCGAAAGACCCAAGGAATATTAATTCCTGCAGTCACGAAAGCATTAAGTCAAGAAGCTAGATTTTGTTGATGAAACCGTAACAGCAAATAACTATACTTTTTGTTTTTTTTCGGTAAAGTCACGTAGATAGTAAAATAATAGATCACGACGTTTTGATCGCAACGAGAAATCGTCTTCAGGTGAGAGAGAGAGAGAAGCATTCCTTTGTTAAGAGGCATTATATCGATCCGAGAAGGGGAGGCCGTAACGGGCGAGAGGGTGGGGGTGAAATTCAAAGAGGGCTTAGGTGAATTTCACCCTCACCCTCTCGCCCGTTACGGCCTCCCCTCCCCCCTTCTCGGATCGATATAATGCCTCGTCACAACGGCATGCTTCTCTCTCTCTCTCACCTGAAGACGATTGCTTGTTGTTGCGATCGTAATGTCGTGATCTATTACTTATGTTCCTATCTACCTGACTTTACCGAAAGAGCCAAAGAGTATGAATTCCTGCAATTGCGAAAGCTTATAATCAAGAGCAAATAACCATTTCAGAGTTTCTTTAAACAAATGCAGCTGAATAATATTGGTCTGAAAAGCCAATATGCTGGTGGATTAAAAAAAATGTATGTGGAAAGATTAATAGAGGTGTATTTCATTATATTCCCTCTTGTGGTTCAGTTGATTTCATGCATACGAGATTGAGATTTGAACATGCAAAGAGTTGTAATCACTAAAAATAGAATATGTATGGTAAATATTATTGGAGAGGTGGTGCAATTCATCCAAATTAATGGCAGATCTAAATTTTGTGTGCAGCCATTGGTGACTGGGCTAAGACCCTCAAACTCTCACTATACAGTACTTGAGAACCCTCTCTAATCACCGTGGCCGCCTAGATTAAAACCCAAGTTCAGTGGCGTTATCAGTGCCAGGTGAGCGTGTAGACCTATAAGTCACCTGGTAACATCAAAATTAACATGAAGTGTAGTCCACCTACAATAGAAAAATATTCCGTATTATTTTGTAAATGTATTCTTTCAAATATATATAAGTGATTTACATCTGCTCCACCCCGCATTAAGTAACAGACATAACATTCAATCTAGTTATTTTCTTTGGATTAATTCACCGAAAAAATATTTAGCTTACATTTAAGGCAAAACTGTATAAACAATAGATTTTTCAAAGCAGGCAGGTACCACTTGACCGAATCCAAAAACAAATATGGATCAGAGGTTTTGAAGGGAAAAAAAAGAGGGAGATTGTAGATTATATCAAGGGACATGCGGGAGTATTACTGAAAACATAAATGTACGCACGTGGGCCACGTAGTACTGGGAGAGAGTGGCGGCATTGGTCGCCCACTCAACAGGGTCGTAGTGCTGCCACTGGAGTTGACGCTGCAGTGTCAAATGGCAGTAGCGTGCAGCCCTCTCGTTCTCCTCGCCGCTCTTGTACGCTTGAGCCAGGTAGTAGAGGGTGTGGGTGTGCGCAAGCTCAAACCTGGACCAGCAACACACACAGGTTTGGGTTTGTCACGGCCACTTCATCATCTATCGTTCATCAAACATGTAACCTTCGATCAGCACGGTTGGCTAAGTACGGTGCGCAAGAAGTTCTACATACATACGACACTTAAAAAAAAAACTTAACTTGGTTTCTGCAATACTCTTACATATAAGGCAGCAATGTGCGCCGTAATACTTACCATGATGTTAAAAGAGTGGCAGAAAAATGCTGGAGAAACTCTACGTTGATTAAAGCTACATGTTGTAGAGAAGCGTTGGTTCTGAGATATCACGTCCCACGTGAGAAATCTTCACCTGCACTGCCATGGGAAAGTGTCCACCACCTTTCACTCCCATTCCATGCTGCCCAGCATGTCTCCACTCATTGTCTTAATATTGCTTACTCGTGCACAGTGGTGAACATGGGTCAATTAATCCACTACCCACAACAACAATGGTTACCTGACTGTACTGAACACAATTCTCAAACTAGGAGAATATCTAAAATAGCTTACATCATGGTGTGGTAGTTAGTGGCAGGGAGCCACTCTCCTCCCAGTGTTTGTGGGTGAGAATTAGTCTCATGGAAGCTCATCTGCCTTCAATGAATGTACGACCACCCAAATACCACCACACTATAGTGATTTCCATTGACCTACTGGAAACTTGTCTGCCAGTGGTAGTGAGTGTTGCACTATAGAGATGACATGCCTAGACCAGGGTCCCACTTTCACCTGGTTTTCTACTCATCATGTTGGTCATATGAAATTTAAGGACAGGGGCAGAAGGCCATAATCAGGGTAAATGATCAAAATATGCACCCCATATATGCATACCATTTTTTTAAAACACATTTTCCGCAAATGTAATTAAAATAATTTCACAATTTAATGTTTTTATGTTGACAGACGCCACTCAATCCTGCACGTCACACGCCTTGTAGAAAGACATTAATGGCAGTCCGCAGCAGGGGAAACATGGATGCATTTTACCTTCAAAGGGGTTCATCAGAGAACCAGCTGTCAGCCAAAACGGTTCCTAGGCAATGGTAAATCCCTTGTGTGGTCTCTGCACATATCAAGTTTCCCTGCTTGGATTATTAATAAGATGGCATTAATTTTTTTTGGTTGACCCTGAACCAGCGGTATGAATTATACCAGGGGTCGGCAACCAAAATAACAAGAAAAGTCTATTCTTTTCGGATTCTGTAAAAAATTCAATATTTCAAGAGCCACAATGCGTGTGAATACGAGACGGTGGGTCCTTAATAAGTAACGTCACGAAGGGGTCCTTAAAGAACCGCATGCGGTTCCGAAGCCACAAGTTGCCGACCCCTGAACTATAGAGTCCCATGGTAGGACGTTTACGACATATACAACAGTACCTGGCATTGGGACAATTTACCTTAATCTTCGTTGTTGCTCCGAGCATTTGTCATCATCTCTTGTAAACAAGTCGTGGATGTCTAACGGAGGAGTTCCAACCTGCAATAAAGTAAAAAAACACTTTCAATAAAAAGGCAAAGCAATACCCAAAATAAAAAAAAGTGTTTTTCAACACCTTAACTGAGAAAAACGGAACCAATTTGTTAACTTGTAGTAAGCCCTATTTTTACGCAGGTTGTCTGTGCTCACCTCTTTCATGAAGGTCTTGTAAAGGGCCTCGGAATTCTCAAGAAGGACTCGTGCCTTGCTCATGTCGTCCCGGTTTGCCCACAAAATTCCCAGCTGATTCTGTGGAATGGACATTAAAAAGTGTTTATTTAAGGGTGGCAATGTCTTTTTCCCTCAAAAGCAAATATGTAGAAGGTAAAGTAATATCACGGTCTAAATGGTGCTTTATAAAATTAAGGCCAAATACTGTACTTTGAAGGACTAGTTCAGGCTTTGGTTGATCTATATGTTGGGTTGAATGACCAACTTGCTGACCAACCCATACTGGACATCTGTTCTGACAAATAATTCACCACTCTGGTCAGTGGGACCATAGCTATCGGAGCATAGAGTTTGTCCAAAAATAAAATGTTGCTGGACGGTCTGCTGATAACGCAACAACCTATAACACCTGTGTTATGCATGATGGGGCAAACGAATAGATTCAGAAGAACGTCGCATATTCGACCCATATGGCTTGATGTTATTTTCCTCGCCTGGTATGCAGGAGGTCGGGGGTTTGATTCCAACCCTGACATCTGTATATTTGGAGTTTGCATGTCTCTCTCTCCCCGTGGTCGTATGAAATTTTTTTCTCCGGGTCCTCCGGTTTTCCTCTCCACATTTACAAACATGCATTGAGATTATGAAGATTATTTTGCTTTTATCCTATCGTGTTTTTGTACTCTTTGTTGGAACGCTCTGACCCGCCCCGACTTCATAGCTCATCGGATTTCTGCACGGATGACTGAATGATTGCGATTCAGATATCAGACGTAAGGGGGCGCGCACACGCGAGAGGAGGTCTATCGGAAACGGCAATCCGCAAACAAAACCCTCGCACCGGGCGTGTGCTCCCCATCGCTGAGAGAGCGGTGAATGTGCGCGACATGGCGAGCGACCACCCCCTTCACCCCCCCACTAGAGCCGCTACCTGCGCGTGCATGAGCACGGAGACGGCATCCGGCGCCAGCCCCTCGGCCCGCAGGCCGCTCAGGCACGCCTCCAGGTGCTCCTCGGCGCCCGCCAGCTCCTCCGTCTCCATGAGGTTCACCCCGATCTGCAGCTCCAGCGCGGCGCTCAGCAGGCGCTCCCCGCGACCTCCCGGAGCGGCAGCCCCGGTGGCCTCCCACCCTTCGCCCTCCTCCCGCTGCTGATCCTGCTGCTGCCGCCGCTCCTCCTCGTCGCCGCCTCCTCCTCCTCCTCCCCCCTCACCGCGCCCGCTCAGCGCCCGCTTGAGCTCGTAGAGCAGCTCCCGCGCCGCGTACTTCGACTTGAAGGGCTCCCCGTGCGGGTCGCGCTTCGCCTCGACCTCGGAGAGGCGGCGCGCCTCCGCGTACTTGACGCACCACTGCGCGAACTCCTCGCCGCCGACAACGCCGCCGCCGCCGCAGCCGCCTCCACCACCGTCTCCTCCATCGAGGTTCTCCATTGCAGGGACGCGGTGTCGCGATGACGTCATCACGCCCCAACGCAACCGCGTTCACAGCAGCAACGTCCCCGCGGCCCGGGCGAGGGTGACGTGATGACGTCATCACGCCCCAGCGCAACCGCGTTCACAGCAAGCACGTCCCCGCGGCCCGGGCGAGGGTGACGTGATGGTGTCATCACGCCCCAGCGCAACCGCGTTCACAGCAGCACGTCCCCGCGGCCCGGGCGAGGGTGACGTGATGACGTCATATCGGTTAAACGCAACCGCGTTCAAAGTCCCCGCGGCCCGGGCGAGGCTGACTTAATGACGTCCACTACAGCCGTGAGCTCTTGTGACGTAACCGCGAATACGTCACCACGGGCAGGGCGATGGGATACGATGACATCATCACAGCGTAGCATGGGGACGTAACTTCGTTTAACGTCACCACGGCCCATGCGAGGAGATTCGATGACATCATCACGGCCCAGCTTGGGCGTCCTAACCACGGTGACATCACGGCCCGGGCGAGCGGTGGACGCGATGACATCACCACGCTCGAGCGTGGTGACGTAGAGGATGTCACTTGCGAGCACAGCGACGTCACGACGTCGCCAGTGCCGATCTCGCGTCGCTTCGCTCAGTCTGCGATCGATTGCGTCGGCTATCGACTCTTGCAGCCCGGTATTGGGCGTCCTCAGTTGTTGCCTGTCCCATAGCGCCATTGGGCTTAGCGGCAAAGCGAACTGCAATTTTGTAATTTTGAGGTGGTTATAAAACGAGCATTTTATAACAATGGAAATTTGATGGGGTTTGTAAACAATTTAAGTTTGCGAAATGTCGTGCGTAAATTACGAGTGCTTGAATGTACGCGTATCAGGCGGTCTTCGGACACCCCGGTTGTGGATGGGGGGAGGGGGTCCTAGCTGGCTTGGCCCGGGCTGGGATGTCAAGAGTGTCACACGTGCGCAGCGTGCCGCTCACCAGGCTCGCTCCTCACCTCACTCACCAGGCTCGGTACTCACCTCACTCACCAGGCTCGGTACTCACCACACTCACCAGGCTCGGTACTCACCACACTCACCAGGCTCGCTCCTCACCTCACTCACCAGGCTCGCTCCTCCCCTCACTCACCAGGCTTGGTACTCACCTCACTCGTTACTCACCACACTCACCAGGCTCGGTACTCACCACACTCACCAGGCTCGCTCCTCACCTCACTCACCAGGCTCGTTACTCACCACACTCGTTACTCACCACACTCACCAGGCTCGCTCCTCACCTCACTCACCAGGCTCGTTACTCACCACACTCGTTACTCACCACACTCACCAGGCTCGGTACTCACCACACTCACCAGGCTCGTTACTCGCCGCACTCACCAGGCTCGTTGATCGCCGCACTCACCAGGCTCGCCAGACTCGCTCCTCACCACACTCACCAGGCTGGTTAGACACCGCATTCACGAGACTCACCACACCCCAGCACACTCGCTAACCCACCCCCGTTCACCGAGAGTCACCGCCCTCAGGTGCCGCATTCCGTTTGGCGCTCCGGTGATTTCCCTAACCCCTGCGTGTTCACTGAACTCCACGCTCCCGAAGAGCCGCAGAACACTTACGGGGGACACACGATCACTGAGCTCCGCGTGTGTCACCAGGCTCCTCCGGGTGTGTCACCAGGCTCCTCCGCGTGTGTCACCAGGCTCCTCCGCGTGTGTCACCAGGCTCCTCCGCGTGTGTCACCAGGCTCCTCCGCGTGTGTCACCAGGCTCCTCCGCGCGTGTCACCAGGCTCCTCCGCGCGTGTCACCAGGCTCCTCCGCGCGTGTCACCAGGCTCCTCCGCGCGTGTCACCAGGCTCCTCCGCGCGTGTCACCAGGCTCCTCCGCGCGTGTCACCAGGCTCCTCCGCGTGTGTCACCAGTCTCCTCCGCGGGTGTCACCAGGGTCCTCCGCGCGTGTCACCAGGCTCCTCCGCGCGTGTCACCAGGCTCCTCCGCGCGTGTCACCAGGCTCCTCCGCGCGTGTCACCAGGCTCCTCCGCGTGTGTCACCAGGCTCCTCCGCGTGTGTCACCAGGCTCCTCCGCGTGTGTCACCAGGCTCCTCCGCGTGTGTCACCAGGCTCCTCCGCGTGTGTCACCAGGCTCCTCCGCGTTCACTGAGCGTCGCCGCTCTCCGGGCTCCACCGTGCGGGTCCAACATGAGCGTGGTGCGGCGCGGCTCGGCCGGGCTCCTGCTGCTTCGCGCCGGCGTCTGGAGTCGTCGAGTCGTCGCCTCCTCAGCTTCCCCGCGTGGCCCGGCGTGGCTGGTCCCGTCGGCCGTGGCCTGGGGTCGCTGCCTTCCCTCTGCCTTCTCGTCGGGGCCTAGGCCGGCCGACACGTCGCTCTTCGTGCCGCTGGTCGTGCAGCCGGCGGTGGGCAGCGAGGAGGACATCGGAGCCGAGCTCACCCAGTCGCTCGACAAGAGTGAGCGCGAGGCAAATCGGGAATTTTAAACGCGTACATTCTCATTAAATCACTCGCGAGATCTGGAAGTGTGTTTCGTGGCTTGGCCTAAACATCACGACAACAATTTGGGCGGCGGAGTATATCGTCTTGAGGGGTTGGCTGTGTGGGGGGGGGGGTGCGGGAGAAGTAATAGGAAAACACCGTGCCGGGTCGGCTGGAGTCTGTACGTTTCAGTTTCATTTATGTGGTATAGCCCTGTGAGCCATTCGGCTCTTGAATCGGGGGCAACCGCAACAAACAAAAACATCTTAAAGTGACTAAGCACAAACAGAAAAATCCAGGAAAAAAACATCAAAATCTTCCATAAAAAAAGCACCGTACACCAACGCTGTGTGCAAAAATCCCAGTGGGATGCAAGTCAACAACAACAACCACAAGACAACTTAGTTTAAAGCCATCAGTTTAACTCCGTACTACAACAAACAAACAGGGCCAAACCAAAAAACGTTTTAGAAATCACCAAAATAAAGCCATACGTGGAGACTGCACACGCAGCGCATTGGAAATCCTACAGGCAGATTAAGGCCACCATAGCACAGGTTATTTGGGCTAGATCGCGTAAATGTATAAATGTGTCGTTCAACCCACCACCACCCGACGCAGCCAATTAGTAGTAGTAGGGTTTGTCACGTAAACAGAACGTGGTCAATTCGTTACTTGTACAGCACGCCGGTATATTGGAGAGCAAATCCAAAACATCACAACCGGCCGGTTGTGATTACTGGCGCAACGTCGAACTCGGATTGTAAATGTCATCGATTTGCTCTCCAACACACCGGTGTGATGTACGAGTAAGGAATTGGCATTCTCTGTTTACGTGGTGGCGGGTTTATCGACACATGTATGCGATCTAACCCAAAACACCTCTTTTATGGATGATATTGGTCGCAAAAGCCTACGTGTTAAACAGATTAAGGGAAGCAGATACAGCGGGAGATTTAAGAGAGAAACGTGGCAAGAGACACAAGAATTGATATGGACGCTGAGCAAATTAAGGTGCAGATATTCAGACGTAAAGAGACACGGAGACGAGAGACATGAGAGATGGGATTAGCACGGTTGGCTACGTACGGTGCGAAAGAAGTTCAACATGCATGCAACTGGTACCAGGCACATGGAGACGCATACAGAGAGACAAGACAGACATCGATACTGGCACAGAAATGGTCACGCAGATGACAGGAAGGCAACTCAGAGAGGGAGAGAAATTCAGAGACACACGACGTGGAGTCAAACGTACAAAGATAAAATAAGTTGACATTTGGGACACAGACACGAGTGGAGAGAGAGCAACGTGGAGACAATAGCGAGACCGACTGAGAAAAAAAGGAATGCTGACACAGACATGCGGGCACTGGTTCATTCGTTATTAGGGTCAGTGTGATGGAGAAAACCAAAATCGTACACGTTCCCAGGCTTAAATACTGTAAGTACTCAGTAAGTACACCAGTGTGCGACTGTGGTCATCCAGAACAGACAACCTATAACGACGCAATGCCCAATCGACAATTACGAAGGAGAAACATCGCAGCGATGATACACTCCGCTGCTCCTGACGCGGTTGTCTGGGCTTGGCCACCTGAACGTGAAATTGTAGTTGTTGCTCTGCATTATCTACATCAACCGCCATACGACAGAAGAAGAATAGGTACTGGATAGGCTGTCACCTGTAACAGCAGTAGATGATGTGGCTTCAGATACGAGTACAGGTGATAAACGTGGGCCAGGCAGCTGCTGTTACCGCTGGCGTACACGGATATTGCACTTGACTATTTCGCCCGGTTCGCCGTAACAATATGGGCTGAGTGTGAGGTATGAAGTAAATTCTGTTTTCGAGTCACTTCACGGCCTCGACGGAACAGCATTGTCACAGTGACGCTTTGCTCACACACGGCAAAACAAACAAGTTCACATTTCACGCTCAGGATCGCTCGTTCGACCCAGCTGATGCTCACCGATGTCGCCCGGCTTACGGTGTTTTTGTCTTGCCCACGTCATTTCAAATGCTTTTGCTTTCAGCGGTATAGCAATCAACTGAAGTTGCATAATAACTAAATAGAGAAGGTGCGAAGCAAGTCGTAAAAAATATGAGCAAATATTACCCGCGAAACGTGCTCGAATTGCTAATGTTGTGAGTTTACTCTCCAACACACCGGGGTGCTGAACTATTAACTAATTGGCATGTTTTGTTTATTACTAATTGGCTGTGTCAGGTGGTGGCAGGTTTAACGACATATTTACGCGATATAACCTGAACAAAAAACCTCAGGAATATTTTTCTAAACATATGACTATAATCTGTGCGAGTGACGCTGGGAAATGCATCCGAATGTGTAACTTGGCCAGGTAGTGAAGTGGGGACAGAATTAAAATGCTTTTGGAAGCTGAACTTGATCATGTAAAGTAACGATACCTGTAGTGTAACCTACAGAACACACGGTTTCAATCAGTACATATTATCTGCTCACGGAATATGGATGATAAATATGGTCACAAAGACAAGCACATAGAGAGAGGAGTTAACGCTCTGAAGTTTTCATTACTTTTGAGATACAGGAAGCGAAATGCATACAAGTTTGAAACAGCGTAGTTGACTCAAGAAAAGTAAACTTGTCGCCGGAAGGGATGGACAATACACAGATTATAATGGCAGCCGAAGCAGGAAAATCGCTCAACGTAACAACTGTGAAGATGGCGACTGGGTATTGTAAATGTTAATTTGTAATTTTGTTGTTGCATACCCCTGTACCCCGTTTGAAAAAAAAAAAATTACAGCAGTTCCACTGCTGGATTATTTTTTTCGCCTGAGGACGACCACTTGTGTTGCGATCGAAACGTCGTAATATATTATTTTTTATTTTATTTTT